GTTCACTCCGTGCTGCTGTCGCAGAGTGCCTGAGCCTGAGACTTTGCAAGGAAAATAAGTTGGTTCTGCTCACAGCTCAGAGCCTGGTGGAGACGTGAGCTTGTGGCACGGGCCTGGGCAGAGAGAAGTGGGGAGAGAGGAGGCAGGAGCCTGACGAGGGGCGGGGCACCTCCCAAGTCTGCCATCTTTCTGTAGTCAGCACTCCTGTCGGAGGGGACGGACCATGGCAGCTGCCCCCTCTGCCCTGTCCCCTCCAGTGAGTTGTGTCAGAAAAGAAAGGGCCGTCTCCGGAGTCTGAGCAGACTCGTCATGTGACAATTTAGTCCTAGGATATTTTGTGGGAAAGGGAAGAAAGAGGCTGGGCTGTGGCACAGTGAGTTAAGCTGGCATCCCATTTAGGTGCCACTTGGAGCCTCAGCCACTCCTCTTCCCAACCAGCTCCCTGCTAATGCACCGGGGAAAGCGGTGGAGCATGGCCCGAGTGCTGGGGCCCCTGCCACCTGTGTGGGAGACCTGCATGAAGCTCCTCTCTTTGGCCTGTCCCAGCCCCAGCCATTGTGGCCGCTAGGGGGAGTGAACCAGCAGATGGAAGATTCTCATTCTCTCTCTCTCTCTCTCTCTCTCTCTCTCTCTCTCTCTCGTGCTCTGCCTTTCAAATAAATCTTTTATTTTTTTTTTAATTTTTAACAGGCAGAGTGGACAGTGAGAGAGAGAGACAGAGAGAAAGGTCTTCCTTTGCCATTGGTTCACCCTCCAATGGCCGCTGCGGCTGGCGCACCGCGCTGATCCGATGGCAGGAGCCAGGTACTTATCCCGGTCTCCCATAGGGTGCAGGGCCCAAGGTCTTGGGCCATCCTCCACTGCACTCCCTGGCCACAGCAGAGAGCTGGCCTGGAAGAGGGGCAACCAGGACAGAATCCGGTGCCCCGACCGGGACTAGAACCCGGTGTGCTGGCACCGCAAGGCGGAGGATTAGCCTAGTGAGCTGCGGTGCCGGCCTCAAATAAATCTTTTTAAAAAGGGAAGAGGTCTTTGATTTTTATATAAATGGCTTAATCAGTTACACCACTTTTGAGTTTATATTCTATGATCTATGGTTACTACTGGTATTCCTGTTAGTTAACCCCTACCCCTCTAACTGCTAATTCCCAGCTAAAACATGGGCTCACCCCTAAAACCCTGGGGCGCCTTGGCTTCCAGGCCCCACCCTGTGGCCTTGCTAGTCATTTTCAATCTTTTTCCCCCCCATCTCATTTGAAAGGGAGGGAGAATGAGATTTCCATCTGTTGGTTCCTGTCCCCAAGTGTCTGTAACAGCCAGGTCTGGAAGCCAGAAACTCAATCCAGGTCTCCCACATGGGTGGCAGGGACCCAAGTCCTGAGCCAGGAAGCTGGCATTGGAAGAGGGGGTGGGGCTGGAGCCCAGTGCTCCAGCGTGGCAACCCAAGTGGTGTCCTAACTACGCACCAAATGCCTGCCCAGCCGTGAGCTTTGCGTTTTCCGATCCTTTGCCATGAGTGTCTGATCCTTTGCTGTGAGATCAGAGATGATTCCAGATGTGTTCATCCTTTATGGAGACTTCTCTAAGCACCTTGGCACGTTGGAAAGGATGTGGGGTCGGTGCTGGCTTGAGAGTTCCGCGCTTATTAACCAGAGTACTCACACCTCTTCTGTCTGCTCACGTCTGGCCGGTTTCTGAGAGGTGTGTTGGAGTCTTGAGCGCTGGTAGCCGGTAGCCGACGGGGCTGTGGCTCTCTTCCGCTCTGCCCATGCTCCCACACCCGCTTGCCCTGACTCGGAGCACCCCACGGCATGACGTCCCCAGGGCCTGGCATGATGTCCTCAGGGCCTGGCATGATGTCCCCAGGGCCCCGCATCTCTCCGAGGACACTGCTTGTGCCCCACGTGCTCTGCACGGCCTGCACCCTGGGGCCGCTGTCTGGCGGCTGGGCTGCAGCCAGGCCTCCCCGTGAGCCCCGCTGGCTGTGATGCGGAGCCGGGGAGTCAGGAGAAGCCCGGAATGAAGTCCTCACGCTGGCTGCAGTGGAACCGGCCTGGGCCCCCTGCCGAGCTGCTTATTCAAGTCAAGTCTGGGCAGAAAACTTTAAAAAAAAAAAAAAAAAAAACCAAACCAAAAATGCCTCCCAGGTGGTTCTCATGTGCAGCCCAGGCTGAGAGCCCTGGGTGCCCAAGAAGGGCAGGGTGGTGGGGGCTGAACCGTGGGTGTGCCAGCCCAGGTCCACCCCTGCCCTGCCCTTCCCCATCAAGACACACCCCCAAACCCCCCAAGACTGCCCAGCTGCCTGGTGGGCTCTGGCTGACTCCCCCTGCCCCAGGGCAGAGTTCTCCCACCACATAATGGGATGGACATGACCTCGGGGTGCCACGTGGGAGGAAGGCCTGGGCATGGCCACCAAAGCGCCCCCAGCCCCATCCATCTTGCCCGAGGCCTTGGTCTGTCTCGCTCTGCCCAATGCCCTGCGGTTTTTGTGTTGGGTCCTGTGACCCATCGGCCATCTCTTCTTTCTGTATCTCTCTAAGATCTTATTTATTTGTTTGAGCGGCAGAGTTATAGACAGAGGGAGAGACAGAGGTCTTCCATCCACTAGTTCACTCCCCACATGACCACAATGGCCAGAGCTGTGCTGATCCGAAGCTAGGTGCCAGGAGTTTCTGCCAGGTCTCCCATGTGGATACAGGAGCCCAAGCACTTGGGCCATCTTCCACTGCTTTCCCAGGCCATAGCAGAGAGCTGGATCAGAAGAAGAGCAGCTGGGACTCGAACCCCTGCCCACATGGGATGCTCGCATTGCAGACAGATGCTTAGCCCACTGTGCCCCAGCGCCTGCCCCAGCTGCCACCTCTTTCTCTGGCCTCCCCCAGGGCTTGGTTCCAGGGAGAGACTGGCAACCCCATGCCTTCCACCACCACCACCACGGACAGGTGCTGGCCAGAGCTGGGCCCTGCAGTGGGCACCACGTCCTCAGGGAGGAATCCGCCCCTGGTCTCTGAGCCCTCTGGGCCCCCGCCCCAAGGACAGGTATGGGGAGGTGTGCCACTGGGCATCAGGGTCTCTGTACCACTGCCCTGTCCTCCCTTCTGGGCTCCTCATGGTCGAGTCCAGTTCATCCACCCACCAGGGAGCCCATTCAGTGGACACTGCTGGTGCTGCTACTTTCCCAGGGAGGGGCGGAGCAAGGAGGCAAGCCACGCCCCCTCTTCCCAGAGGGGTCAGGTGACTGTGGGGCAGTGATGCGTGGTACCCTGTGCCTGGCATGGAGGTCAGCATGGAGCAGACGCAGGAGCAGGGTCTCGAGGGGAGAACAGGACTTGGTCAGACAGCAGCAGGGGGAAACGCATCCCGGCAAGGGGAATAGTTAGGCCAAGGTCAGGAGGCATCTGACAGTGGAGGGCCTGGGGAGGCCAAGGCCATGCAGCAGGGGCCTCGGTTGATGGGGGTCCTGTTAGCTGGGTCTGGCAGCGTGGATGACGGATGAGAGGCAGACAGGGGAGGCAGGGGATGAAGGGCTCAGAGCAGAAGGAGGGGCAGTGGCCACAGAGCATAGATAGGAGAACCGGGCAGGCTGGCCAGGTCACCGATGGCTCTGGGCGGGGTGGGGGTGGGGGCACAGGTGACTCTGGGAAGAGATGGCGCCACCCACCGTGAGGGGGAGTGGGAAGCGGCTCTGGGCGCGCTCAGGTCCAGGCGCTCACAGGCTGTCCGAGGAGACCCCCAGGCGGCTACTGGAATGAGGCGGCTGGGGCTCAGGGCACCCGGCCCACAGGGCTGAGCATGGCTGGAGACCCGGGCTGGGCGGCAGGCGGGGGCCTGGCAGCCAAGGGAGCCCCAGCGTTTTAGGGGTGAACCCATGTTTGGGAGTCAGCAGCTGGAGAAGCAGGGGACGCAGTTGGCGCGTGTGGGTGGGGTCGGACGGACGACAGCGTGGCCTCCATGAGGGTCAAGGACATCGGTCACTGCTGGTCCCAGTGCTGGGCTCAGGGCCTGTCCTGGGTGATGGAGGGACGCAGGGGGGATTCCTCCCTTGGCCTGTGGGTTTCAGCGCCTCGTAGCCCCAAGGCCCGTGTGGAAGGTGCCACCTCTGGGCCCCGGGCGCCGTCTGTCCCCTTCCCAAGCAGGCCAGTGGCCTGCGTCTGGCCTCTCGGGTCATGGCGCTGGCTCTCCACGTCCAAGGCCGTCACAGTTCTTCCCTGGCGTCCGTGGAGCCGCACGCGGGGGGCACTTGTTGCTCTGTGTGGACAGCCACAGGGAGCCCAGCATGTCCCTCGTCTGCACCATGCGCCAAGCTCCGCCCCAGGAGGAAGCTCTCGTCCTGGCTGAGAGCTGGTGCCTGGAGCGGCAGTCAGCATTTGAACCCAGCTCTTTGCCGGGCGCGCTTGGCTTTGCAGGTTTCTTAGGAGCTCTGTGCTGTTTCCTGTCCAGGAAGAGACCTGACAGTTCTCAGAGTGGGGCCTTGGGTGTGGAGGAGGCAGGGCTGGGTGGGGGGCGCTGCTGGGGGACCCTCGTGGTCCCCAGGCGCCGAGTGCTGAGCCTGGCTGTCCCGCCCATCTGGCGTGAACGGAGCTGCGGGCAGTGACAGTCAGACGGCCGTGTCTGCCCCGAGATGCAAGGGTCAGGGATGAGCAGACAGCAGCTTTGATAGTGAAACCCGACCTGCTGGCTCCCGCCGGGGCCCAGCCCAGCCCTGCCCGGGCCCCGCGGCTCCACAGATGAGCTGCCGGGACAGGCCTCGGAGCCCGGGAGCCACGGCCGGGTCCCCGTCGCGCCAGCGGCCAGACAGGACTTGGCGGGCGGACATGAAAGGGCCCGGCGCATTCCTCATGGCTGCCGGGACCCTCTCCTAGGCATGTCCCTTGGGGGTGGCCCACGCCTCCGGATGCCAGGGAGGTCACAGCTCCTTCTAGAAGGCCGGACGGCGGCCCTGGGGCCTCCTGAGGGACACTGGCCTCCTTGACCTCAGATGCAACAGAGGAGAGAAGGAGGAGGTTAGAACAAACGTTTATTTAACAAATTCTAGGAAGGACGCAGACGGTCTCACAGTGAGCTCCCGCCACCTCGCCCGCACCCAGCAGCCCGCACGGCTGGTGTGGTGGTGTTGGCCGCAGCTGCCCTGGGCCACAGCAGGAGGCGAGGGCGGCGGGCTGACCTGAGGTGCCGGCGTGGGGGCCCCTTCGCCCTTGGCCTTGGCCGTGGGCTGGGGCGGGCCCGGGGAGTTCCGTGACAGGACCAGGAACAAGAGGTCAGCCCGGATGTGTGCTTGTGCTGGGCGGCTGGCGCCATGGGTGCGGGGCCAGGTCCGGTGCCGCCGCCTACCAGCCAGGGCTCGGCTTCCTCGGCTGTCACGGAGCGAGGAACGCCCGCTCTGGGCTTCTCGGTGTCAGGGGGCGGGCAGGGGACGTGTGCTTTGCGGGCCTGGCACCACGGCCGCCAAGTGAGCAGACCTGGTCCACTGCTGCCCTGGGACCGGGGCCCTGGGGCTGGCGTCAGTTCTCGGGCGTGGGGAGGGGACAGGGGCCTCACCACACTCTTGGGCCAGCACCCTGCTCTCAGCACCTTGGGTGTCGCCTGGCCCTGTGTCCCGGGTCGCCGTGGGACCCGCTGTGCCCCCGGGATGAGGCCATGGCCCTTCATGTTTCTAACAGGATCCTGGGCCTTCCCTTCCCACAGTGGCCACAGGATTTGTGAGAAAAATGCACCCCCTCCCCCCAGACACAAGGGTCGCTCGGCGGGAGCCACACACGCACCTCCGCGGTCACCCACGTGCCTGCTCCTCCTCTCCCACACTCAGGACACGGAGGGGCGGGAGTGACGTGGGCTGCATCACGCGTGCCGGGACGTTCACAGTCAATGTTACATGAGATGCTATGGGGACGCCTGCCTCGCTGGTGGCCGTGCCGGGGGCCGCGTCCTCCCTCCACCCTTCTTGCTCTCGGGCGAGGGGTCCTATGTGGTTGCCACCTCACCTTCCAGGGCCCCTTAGGGCTCCCCAAATGCCGCAGCCTTGGTCTCGGCAGGAGAGACCGTCAGGTGTTACCGGCCAGAGGCGCACAGCGGGAGGCGGTGGGCTGCCCCTCTGCGGGTCTGGAGCACCCCACTTCCGCGGAGCCCACCCTCCCGGAAGGCTCTGTGCCGGGGGCCAGGCCCACCCGATGGCCCGACTGCGGGGCTCGGGTGGGCGGGCCAGGCAGCTGCTGCAGTTTACACAGGGGCCCCGGGTGGCCTCAGGGGCTGGTGCAGGTGCGTGAGGTATCTCTCGGCCCTGCCCACCTCATGGGCGACTCTGGGCCGGCTCTTGCTCCTGTCCCTTTAACGCCTCGGCCACTCAGCCACTCGTGGGCCATCCCGGGAGGTGCAGTGGCAGTGGCCACCCCCACAGATGGCACTAGGACAGGCGCGGCGGCGCCAGCAGTCCACGGGTGAGGCCCTCGGGGCAGATGGGCGTGTGAGTGAATCTGGCGTCCTCCAGCAGACAGGCGAGGAGCTGTGGTCCTGGACCCGTCGGTGATCTGGTCAGCAGGTGCCCGGGAGTCGGGTTGCTTGTGTCCTCCAGGGCTGGCACCATCTTGGGGTGTGGCCGCCGGGGGGGCCCACCTGTCGGCACTGGGCTGGGCAGTTGGAACTGTCGTTGGCACACAGGTGACACACAGCCAAGCCCTTTGGCGAGCAGGCCCCATCGGCCTTCTCCCTGGAGCCAGGCATCCGGGGGTGCCATGCGTGACGAGCCCGGGGGAGGTCAGACGAGGCCCCAGGCTGTGGGAAATGTCCAGGCACCTGACCCAGACGAGAGGGACTTGTGCCACAGCAGCCCCACCAAGCCACCGACCCCACGTCCTCCAGGAGGGAAGCGGCCTCGTGGGACCCCCGTGGCGGGTGACCGTCAGGAGAGGGGGGGCCCGGGGCCATCAGGCGCCCACGCAGGAAAGGCTTCTTGGCGAACAGCCGAGGCCGCCGAGGCCGGTCGGCCGCGCCGGCTGCTACAGTACACACGGGTTAGTCGCGATTGTGAGTGAGGTCCCAGGAGGCTGGGGTGTCCCGTCAGGCAGGCTGCCCAGTCTCCCGGCTCGGGCAGGGAGGGAGGGACGGGGTCAGTAGTGTAGCAGGAGGTGTCTGCTCCCCGCGGGCGGCCCGGGCTCAGGACTGCGGCACCTGCTGACACCTGGTAGGGCTGGGCGGCAGCCGGGCCGCGGCGCTCTGCTCCGTGCGGAAGCTGTACTCGTACTGCGGGAGGAGAGGGGACAGTCAGCCCGTGGGACACGAGACACCACCCGCTCGGCCCCACCCCCACCCCGAGCGGCCAGGCTGGAGGCTGCCCGCTGCCGTGTGTGTGGGCACATGGCAATGAGCCAGGCTCACCATGGGCACCGTGCACGGTCCCTGCCTGGCCCTGCAGTGAGACCCCAGCACCGACGGCCCCTGACGCCTGGATGTTGAGGGCAAACCCGCACGGCTGAGCCTCTGCGTGCCAGTCCCCCGCAGCCTCGCAGGGCACTCCTTGGCCTCCTACCGCGAGAGGGGCCGTGTGTGCTGGCCGGCCAGATCCTGGCCTCCAGCCACTGGACCATGGTGACACCAGGACCCAGGGACGGCGTCTCCCCAGCCGCTCTGCACAGCCCCCCCTCCCCCCGGCCCGCCTCGGCGTCCAGAACCCTGCTGAGGACCCCTGCGCAGGCGCCTGGAGCTGGGAGCCCTGTCGCAGGCGTGAGTGAGGGTCGGCAGGTGCTGGTTCTGAGACCCCGACCTGGGACGGGGACACCAGGGAGGGCGCGGCGCCCGGGCAGAAGCCGCTGTGGTGGTTTAGAGAGCAGGTTAGACCCGCGGGGCTCACGGGCGGAGCGGGACCAAGCGGGCCTCCGAGGGTGAAGGGAGCAGGGTGCCTTTTCAGTGTTTTTCTCTGAAAGTGGGGAGAGGGCGGGCCCTGTCCCCACGCGAGTCCCTGAGCCTATGGCTCCTGGAGCAGGGGCCAGGAGGACCACTGCTGATGGGACATGGCCAAGGTCTGTGAGGGTGGAACAAGGCAGCCATTCAGGGCCAGGCCTGGAACAACCACTCGGGACATCTGGGGCCTACACAAAGAACCCCTCAGAGCAGCCCGGTTCCCCCATGTTCCCGCACTCAAATGACCAGGGACCCACAGACCAGTCCCAGAACAGGAGGCTTCAGGCAAAGGCTGGGACAATACTGCCACCTGGTGGCCACTTGGGTACATGCAAGCAGGCAGTGGGCCGGCACCGCCCCCTGGCTTCAAGGCTGGTCCCCAGCGCAGCAAGGGAGGTGCAGGGCCACACCTGGTTCCCGGTCCAGCAGGATGCCACTTTGAGGGGTGGGGGCAGAGGAGCCGAGGGGTCAGTGGGGCTTAGAGTGGAAGCCTGGGGCAGCCCTTTCCACTGGGACAGTGGCGAGGGCAATGAAGTCATCAGCCCAGGGGGTCACTGCAGGAAGAAGAGGTGAGGAGAGACCAAGAGGCGGAGGTGTCCAAGGGGCGGGTGTCTGGGGAGCCCCTGGCTGGGGAAGGACCAGGGAGGCGCATGGGGCGCGGTGGGGGGTGTTTTGAGAAATGCATACGAGGTCTGAAGGCCAGAGAACAGGGCTGTGCCCTTGAGGAGGGGGACGAGGGAGGCCCAGCTTCCAGAGGGGCAGAGGTGTTGGTGTGGACTTTCCTGGGGCACCCAGGTGACGGGTGCAGCAGCGTGTCACCTCTGCGTGCATCTGCAGCTACTCCGAGGTGACCCGAGGCTGCGTCAGCCCAGACTCCATGTCCGGATCACTGGCCCTGGGAGTGGTATGGACAGCAAGCAAGGTCAGAGCGAGGGGCTGGCCGTGCCCCTGAACAGGCCCCCCCCAAGGCGGTGAGGGACGGGGAAAGCTGGTCCGGGCTCCAGCAGTGTCTGCCCTTGGGGTGGGTGCAGCGCACAGGCACTCAGTCCCGGGCCCAGGCTGGCTGTGCTGACCTGGTGTGGGCAGGAGGCCTGGGGCAGGGCCCAGGCTAGCCAGGCAGGGGTGCGTGGTGGGGGTCGGGGTGGGGAGGACGGGGTGGGGGTGGGGGAGCACGCACCCCCTTGCTGGCTGCAGTAGAGTGCTGCCCCGCCTTGTTTTCACCAATTCCCCAAATGCAGTTTCCACACGTCCTCTGACCTAATCCCCCGCAGGCTGCAGCCCGCCTGCCCCCAGCCGCCGGCCCGGCCCGGCCGTGTCCCTGCAGTGTTTGCCCAGGAGACGGGCAGCTTCTGGGAGCCCACTCCTTCCCTCGGGCAAACAGCGATACCTTTGAAGGTGGATTTGGGCCCGGATCTGTTTACTCAAGACATTAGTCTCCTGCATAAGGAAAACCTGCACTCGAGGACAAACAGCAAATCCTTTTTGAATTAAAAAAATTTTTCAATTAAAAAGCATTTGGTGCACAGAGCCAGCTGGGCGGTGCTGGGCTGGGCGCCCTCTGGTGGTCAAAGGCCGCATGGCAGCCGTGTGGCCGCCCAGGGCTGGGACCTGCCCCAGCAAGGAGTCCAAGGGTCAGAACCCAGGGCTTCAACCAGGGGATGCCTCGCCCGCCTCGGTCAGGTGGGGGTGGCTCTGGCTTACGTGGGGGAAGGCGTCAACAACTTTATGAGGCACCCAGGTGGCTACTGCTTAGGTAGGGGACCAGTCTGAAAACATGTGTTCTATAACATATGCTTACATACATGCACACATACGTGTCACATGTCCCCCAGCCCTCCCACACCCCCAGTCTAGTTTTAGGAACAATCCGTAAGTGGGAAAGGCTACAAAGAGGCTGCTTCCCGCACCTGTGCTCTGCAGACACGCCTGAGGCCCCGGTGGGGCCCTGCCTCCCAAGGCTGCGGCCTGAGTTGAGGCAGCGCCCGCCCAGCCCCAAGGCTGGCTGGGGAATCCGTGTCCAGCAGGCGTCTGCACCCACTTCTCTCTCCCACAGGGGTGTGACCTGGACATGGGGGCCGCACCGACAGACGCGAGCCAACAGGCAAAGGCAGGGGGCACTGCCGCTGCCCACAGCGAGGCCAGGAGCCGGCCTGGCAGGTGAGCACAGGAGGAGGGGGCTGGAGGGGCTGAGGCTCAGGCTGATTAAGAAGACCCGTTTAGGGGTGGATGGACAGCGAGGGGTAGGCTTGGGCGGTCCCAGGGGTCCCCCCGCCAGCTGCCCCGGGCCTGCCCGATTCTCCGCCCTTGGCCCACACCCTGGCTCTCGGCTGCTTACAGTCTGAAGGCCTTGGCTCCCTCTCAAGCCCTCTGGGCTCTCCCGCTATGGGGCTCTTTCCCACCCGTCTCCTGGGACTAGGCCCCTGTGGGAGGAGAGAGGCAGGGGCCCCTCGTCCCCACCCTGTGCGGGTCTCAGATTCCTGGGCCTTCGCTGGGCTCTCTGGCCCAGCAGTGTGGCCACCTGACCGCAGGGTGGTCTAGGGACCACGGCTGCAGGGATGTGGATGGCGCGCCTTCCTGTGGGGCCGCGTTCCTGAGGAGTGGTGCTGCGCTGGTGCCGCGGTCCGCGGGGGCAGAGGCCGCATCCCCCAAGCGCGGCCGCCTGCCTGGCCACACCCAGGCCACGGGTGCTGGGGACCCTGGAGAGGACTGCCCTCTCCAAGCCCCACGCTGGCGCCGGGCACAAAACCTCCCATGCCCTCCTCAGGCTCAGGAGCTCCAGCTCTCGACCCCGTGGTCACTCAGGTGACAGGAGTGCCAGGAACTGCTGGTCCCCAGTGAGGCTGCGCCTGTCCCCTCCCACTGCCGGGCCAGCAGGCCCTAGGCCCAGAGCCGAGCTGCAGCCCGATCCACCCGGCGGCTGCAGCGGGCCGGGAACCCTGGCTCTGCCAAGGGCCACGCGGGCGTTCGCGTTGCTGGTGGACTGCACCGCGCTATCTGCTTAAACACTGGCCTGCTACGGATTCACTGGACGTCGAGTCCCGCCTGCGGTCCCCTTGGCAGGGCCAGGCCAAATGGTATCACGGTCTTGTGGAGGCTGCGGGCCAGACCTGCGCCGCCCTGTTCTAGAGTCTTCTCCCCACCCCTGCGGCCCGCTCCCCGCTCACGGCTGTGAGCTGCTGGGACCCAGAGGGGCAGGGGGCGGACTGAGCAGACTCCGCTTCCCCTGCCTTGCCTGTCACTCCTGTCAACACCCCGCCCATGTCTGGGCTGTGTCCCCTGCCTCCCTGGGCTCAGGGTTAGAAGGGTCCCTCTGTGGCCACAGCACCTTGCGCCCGCCACACAGGGCCCCTCCCCACCACGGGGAGGGGTGAGGCTGAGTGGCTTCTGCGGAGCCTTGGTCTCGGCTTGCGCCCGCCTCTCTCCCCCAGCACTAGGGCACTGGGCTGGCACCAGGCGCACCGCTGGGCCGTGGCCCTCTGCCTGCGGTGCGCTTCCTCCCTGGAGTGGTGCAGCGCTCCTGTCCTTCAGGGCCTGGACATGGCGGCGCTGTGCTGGGAAGCTCCCCGCCCGCGGAGCCACAGCACCCTCCTTGACCCGGAGGAGATGACGCCTCCGTGACGGGCAGGTGGGCAGGTGGATGAGTGGTGGATGACGGAAGAGGGCTGGGGGATGCAGATGGACGGTGGGGTGGGGGGGTGGGGCGGATGGCTGGCTGGGTGCACGGTTTGATGCGAAGGAAAGAGCAGCTATTTTAGGGGCTCAGTTGTTGAACAGGTGCAAGGCCATTCTGGCTTTCAGTCCCGTGTGGGGCGAGCCCCGGGCCCTCTGTGTGATGGCCGTGTCCCCCAGCACAGGAACTCGTGGTGGCGGGTACCACACCCAGTGCTTGTCCACGGCAGCACACACCCTGGGGTGGCAGGCCGAGTCTAGCTGTGACTGTGTGTGTGCCTCTCTGTGCAGACCGTGTAGAAGCTACACGTCCAAGGAGCTGGCCTGTGGGCTTGGAAACAGTCACAGACGCTGACAGCCGGGCACTGCGGCCTTCGCGGGCCTGCACTGAGCTCAGCTGCATGGGGCCCGGTGCAGCCGTGTCCCGAGAGGCCTGCGCTCCCCTGTGTCCCCACCAGTCCCTGTGCATGGCCCAGCTGGGCGGGGGCCGCCTGCCATTCATCACTGCGCTTGCATGTCACGTGTGAGTGACCCGGGAGGATGAAAGGTAAGTGGACAGGGCAAACGGAGTGCGTGTGTCTCCCTGCAGGCGTCCCCAGCAGCTCTGCAGGGCCGTGGCTCAGAGTTCCCCTGCAGCGTGGGCACCTGGACCCCCTCGTCGGGCTCCCCAGCAGGGAACACGGGAAGCCCAGCTGGTTTCCACGCCGATCCCAGGATGCGGAGCGCACGCTGCAGGGACAGCTGGGAAGGCCCTGCCCACTGCCAGGCCAGCTCCTGGGGGCCATTCGTGGCTGTGTGGCTTTATTCTACTTAAGGCCTGAATAGTAGACGTTCCAAGAACCCCCCTACGAAGGATCTGCTGAAGATCGACGGTCACCTTGACTTCCCCTGAGCTCCAGCAGGTGCGCGACTTGCCGCCCCAGGCCAGGCCGTAACTGCGTGGCGCTCGGCGGTTCTCATTCACACAGTGACGGCCTGGCCTCGCGGGAATGCCCTGGGCGGCGGCTGCGGCTTGGGAGAAACATGGCGGACAAAACCCCAGAGGCACCTGTGGGCACAGCCCACGGCCTTTGGGTGCCGCCGAGACACGGGTGGCACCGGCAGAGGCCTGCGAGCCAGGGAATGCCATAACTCATTCTTGACTTTAAAAATAAACACAGGAAAATGGAAACAGACAGCTGACTCTTTAACGTGATACAAAGAAAAAGGGGGGTTAGGACATCTATGGATGGCAAACCAGGGACAACTAGGAATGCCCACTCAAAGCGCGGCTAAGACCAGGAGGCCCAGGCACCGGGGAGCGCCTAGGGAGGTCGGGATGTAGGCACAGGAGGAGGCAGGAGCGCCGGTCTGCAGAGCACACAGCTGCCTGCCGGGGAGCCCAGGACAAGCGGCCGAGAACCCGTGAGAAATAGCCAGTGCAGAGCTGACGCCCAGGTCACACGCCAGCACGTCTGAGTGACAGCCCAGGGAGAGAGGTCCCAAGCACACGAAGCCGCAGTGTGCAGATGCCCGCCCATGAGGACACGCACACCCAGCCGCACTCTGGCCCGGGGCCTCAGTACACAGTTCCCACGCAAACGCGTAAGGGGCCGCTTGCGATCCTCCTCCAACTCGGCGTCCTCATTCAACTGGACGAACACTCCTGTGAGTGTGCTCGGGACAGGCCGGGGACGAACCCTCCCGTGAGTGTGCTCGGGACAGGCCGGGGACGAACCCTCCCGTGAGTGTGATCGGGACAGGCCAGGGACGAACCCTCCCGTGAGTGTGATCGGGACAGGCCGGGGACGAACCCTCCCGTGAGTGTGATCGGGACAGGCCGGGGACGAACCCTCCCGTGAGTGTGATCGGGACAGGCCGGGGACGAACCCTCCCGTGAGTGAGATCGGGACAGGCCGGGGACCGCTCCTCGAGAAGCTGTGAGGTCCCCAGCAGTGTGGTAATAAAGGGACTAACGGACGCACAGAGCCCAGACGGCGAGGCAGCACTCGGGACCCCTTCACTCTGTGGTCTCCAAGTTCATGGAAAAGTGGGACTCAAAAGATCAGTGGACCTCAGTGGGGAGAAAAAAAAAAAAGAAAAAACCACAAAACCTCTGAAATCCATGCATAGTTTTCCATGATTGACATTTTCCCATGAACTCTTCCTAAACTGACATATTTGAAAGATGGAGCAACAGAGCAGTGGAGGGGGTGAGAGAGAGCGTCTATCCCCTGGCTCACTCCCCAGACGCTGCGACAGCGGGGGCTGGGCCAGGCGGCAATCGGGAGGCTGAACGCCATTCGGGGCTCCCGCGCGCGGGCGGCGGGCCCCCAGCACTTGTCTGCTGCCTCCCGGGCCACAGGTGCTCGGGAGGCTGCCCTGGAGTGCGGTTGCCAGCCGGGAGCCAGGTGTTCCTGTACGGGATGCGGTGTCCCGGGGGCAGCCTGACCTGGACCCCACTGCGGCTGCCCTCCCGGGAACTCCGTGGAGAGCCCCTCTATGTGGGAATTCATGATGAAGATGGCACAGAAAGGTCGCAGAAGAAAACTGTATTAAGAGCTCTTCCTTTTAAGAAAACTGGCTAAGCTTTAGGATAAAATCGAGCCAGTTCTGGTTCTTCTAATGATTTGCAGTTGGGTCAAGGAGCCGAAAAGCACCCGCTATTTCAATACACTACGTGTGGGAGCAAACGGGCGGGTGCTTCTACAATACTGGAAGTGGCATGCAGCCAGGCCAACGCGTCACACAGAGGTGCTGGAACGTGTGAGCTTTCACTCACCACCACCGTCCGGACGGACGGACGCGCTGGCCACGTATCTTTGCAACGTGAGACCAGCAAGAGGCTTCAAACACGAACAGAAAAAGCAGCGCCACGTGGCCAGTGAAAATGCTCCACCCACTCCAAGTTGCGGAGGATTTGCGGAGGATTTCCGCCACGTGAGGCCCGGCAGGGTGAGGGTGCAGAGCGTGGGTCACCGGGCGTGGGGCGTGGGCGTGGCGGATGCGCGCTTCCTCCGGTACCCGCCTCTCTGACGCCTGCGGATTTTGTTTTTTGGAAGCAAGTAAGCTCCAGGGACAACGCCGAGTACCGGAACGTGGACTCCGATCGGCAGGGTGGCTGCTTGGGGCGACAGTGCCCCGAAGGCCCTCCGCGGGCGGGGGTGGGGTGGGGGGGTGAGCACGATCTCATCTGCCGCTTGAAACCGGTTCCCAGGCTGGGGGCCGACGCCCGCAAAGGGAGGCCGCAGCTGTTTCCCACCCGGCCGCGTTTCTTAAACAAGAGTAACTGAGAAGTCCCCCCCCGAGTGCCCTTTAGTCTACGCACACACTCTGGGAAGGCGCAGTGGAGCCGTGCGCACGCCCCCCGGGGCTGGGGGAGCTGACATCAGGTCTTCGTTTAGGCTGCACTGAACTCGCTGTGACCGCTCCCCAGACCCTGGGTGGCAGCAGGTCAGAGGGGAGAGGGCCGACTTCCACCTGCTTGACTTTGATTTAATAGCAAGTAGGCAGGTTCTCCCCCACCTTTCAGCATCCTGCCTGAAAAATGAGGGAAGCCAAGGGAATCCGGGCGCGAAGGTGCGGCAGTGGCGGACGTGGCCGCCAGGTGGCGCAGAGAGACCGCAGATTCGGGGCTGCGGCAGCCTCCCTCCGCCGGATCTGCGAGCTAAGGAGCACAATGGAGCGGGCCCACGGTGGGAGAAGGGGCGGCGGGCTGGGCTGGCTGGGCTGGGCGCGCTCTGCTCAACAGCGGTGGGGCCCCGCCGTGTCATCACCGGGCCACAGCCCTGCTGCCCGCCTGCCCGCCTTTCGTCCTCAGGATGTGGGTCCCCAAGCCACGCTTGCCGCCTCTCCCCGAGAGGCCTGGGGAGGGCCCGCAGAGCCCACGCCCGACAGCTGAACTTGAAGATGCTCTTCACCTCTGTCGGGACGCACATGCCGGTGAAGGCGGCCCCGAGCTACAGAAGCCACGAGCCCCATTTTTCAACACACAAACACATAAAGATGTCAGCTCAAACTGTTTACTAATTAACACTTAAAAAGACACAAATTAGATATGCGTGGCTAAGAGCAATTATAATCAAGACGAATTTCTCTAGTCATTTGGGAACTGAAAAAAATGCCTAATGGCTGGAACCAATGTTTTAAAAACCGAAATGGAGGCAGTCAGCAAATATGTTCATTTAAGGAACATCCCACGTGACTGCACGCCTGAGGATCGGCTGCAGACAGAACAAGGAAAATATTTAGGTGTAAAATTAAAATTTTAAGCTCCCTTAGATTTATAAGTTCTTCATTAAATATGTCTGCAAACAGCAGCCCATAAAAACCTGTAGCAATTAAGTGGTTAAATGAACTGCCTCCCTTGTCAATTTTAAGGGCGTGATTAATATTAGCGTGTCCTTTACTGACTAGACTCTCGCTGTCTCCCAGCTTCCGTGTTGCTGGAAAATGAGGGCTGTGTGCGCCACCAGGAAGCGAGGTGGGCGCGGGAGCGCTTCCCCGGCCACGGCCACGGTCCCCACGGCGAACCCACGGTGGACCCCCTGCAGGGAGGGGTGGCCACCAGGCAGCCGGCCACACGCAGCAGCTCTGCGGAGCTGGAAGGCACTGGGCGGCTCCCCGTCCCACTGTGACCGGCTGTGGCCCCGGGCTGGTGAGGACCCTGAGGGAGGGAGGCTGGCGTGGGGGCACCGCAGGGCCGGGAGCCCCACCTTGGCTGTGATGGGGAATCCACCAGACGGAGAAATGGGGCTTTGCTCACCCACTGCCCGCAGGGAAGGGATGCAGACGCTGTCTGGCTTCAGAGACCACCCCCTCCCGGCTCTCCCCTGGACTACTGCCCTTCAGGCTCCGTCGCCCCCGCTGGGTCCTGCGGGGGGGGGGGGCACAAAAACGCTGCCCTGGCCGCTCCCTGTGTGCCTCAGCGGCTGCGGGGAAACCCCTGTCCTCGCATCCCATGGGGTGACTGCGGGCAGGACCCCTGGCCCGGGCAGTGACCACGCTCTGGGGGGCTTCAGTCCCGCCCCGCCTCAGGCCGGCCCGGGTCTGGGTGCTGAGGGCTGCCGCCCTTCCCGTCACCACCTCTCTCTCCGTGACACTGCTCCGCAACAGACCTGTCGACTTAACCCGAAAACGTGACCTTCCCCGGGAGTCCTTCACGAAGTTTCACTCAAGTCCACGCACGCCGCAGCTCCAGGGGTCCCTACCACGTGGCCACTTGTGGGCTGCCGGGTGACCAGCAGTGTGCTCTTGGAGGGACAGAGGCCTGAGCTCTGGCTGGAGGTGGGCCAGGGCCCTGCTCAGGGGCCAACCTTGGCTGCAGGTGTCCAGATTGGAGCCGAGTCTGGTCCACAACCCACACAGCGCCCCGTTGTCTGCCATGCCCTTTTGAGACCCGGTGTCTGGGCTGCCAAGGTTGGTGGCTCTGGGCTCACGGCCACCAGTGCCTGTCCCCTCTCTCCGCACTCAGGTGTCCTTGGCCACCAAGGCCAAGAGTCACACTTTCCTCACCAGGAGCTGGGGCTGGAGGTGTCCCCTACCCACAAGGGGGCTGACGCCTGGTCCCTCTCCTGTCACAAGGAGCCGGGCAGCTCCTGGGCACGGTGGCTCAGGCCCACCACGGGCAGCTCCACTTGGCGGGCTGCCTGTCCCCCAGCCCTGCTAGGGGCGAGGTGGGTAGGGCTGGGGTTCCTTCATGGGGGACAGCCCCGGCGGGCAATACGGTCACAGGGCTCGGGTTGGAATTCGGCAGGGGTGTGAACATGGTGCTGGCTGGCAGGAAAGCGAACCACCCCGATTCTGGCCAGACAGGAGGACGTGTTGCCCTCGTCCTCTAACGCCAAGCAGGTGGAGGTGGTGGCAGCTCCGCAGGGGGCCCTCAGCCCTCCTTCCAGCTCTGGGGGTGGCACACTGCTGCTGAGGGACCCTGGCAGGGCACACAACTTCCCCAGTCCGGGTCTGTCCGCTAAGACCAGGGTCACTGCTTCCTCGCACAGCGGCCGAGGGACAGCGAGCGGAAGCCCAGCCCGCAGCAGCCTCCCCAGGGGTGCCAGCTCCCCACCGGGAATCCTGCACGGAGCTGCAGAGGCCCGTGGCCACGCGGCTGCGTCCTGCACCGTGAAGGCCGTCTCCTGCCTCGGCTCGCTGATTCTGCCTCGGTTTACCGGTGTCCAGTACAAAGGCTGACGGCGAACGAAGCCAAGATCTCTCCACCCCAGCCCCTTGCCAAGGGCAGCCAGGCTTGTAGGAGATGGAAAGGAACAAGAGGAAAACTGTGCCCCGCCAGGGGACACCCAGCCTGCTCCAGGCCCAGAGAGCAGAGCCATGGGCTGTGAGCACAGCTCCTCCTCGGGGCTCAGGGGCACTCTGAGGTTTAGCACGGAGCAGAGTCCTCTGCCGTCGCTGCAGACCCCGTGTCTTAAACCCCACTAACATGAGAAATCGAAGTTTGGTCAAAAGGTGATGGCCCTCTGCCTCCAGCAACAGGGCAGGGATGGACCATGCTGGCCACACCCTCCAGCTGTAGCCAGGACGGTCACAGGGATGCTGATGGTGACCATGGCGACAGCACGAACAGGACCACTGCAGACAGCTGCCCATGCCACTTACGTGACTGCCCAGTGAGACCCAGTAAATGCCGCAGGTAGGCACTGCGTCACCACTGCAGTCATACAGAAGGGGAAACTGAGGCTCAGGCTGGTCAGCGGCTGTCCTGGCCTCAGCTTAATGAGTGCCCCTTCGGGGAACAGCGACACCTGGCCTCCGAGCGCCATGGTCAAAGGAGACACGTGGCTGGGTACCAGGAGCAGGTGTTACAGGGTGGGGAGAATGAAGGCCCCCAGCACTCCTGCCACGTGCTCTGGGCTCCACAGAGGGGCGCTCACTTGCAGCCCTATCCTGGTCACTTGCAGGCCCAGCTGGGGTCAGAACATATCGTCCCCCCAGCCCAGAGAGGGACACAGAGCTCCTCTGACAAGGAGAGGGCGTGCAGCACAGCGGCTGGGCCACCGTCTTGTCATGGCCCAGTCACTTCACCTCTTGGTGTCTCCATTTCTGCACCATGGCAGAGGGCGGAACGAGGCCTGCTGGGTGAGCTGGGGCAAGAACCTCACACGGTACGGAAACCCTGAGCCCAGAGCTGGGCAGGCAGCAGGGGCGGCTGTGGTGCCTGCGGCCAGGCAGGTCCAAGCAGGACAGCAGGGGAGGGGGCCCACACTCCTCCTGACCCCGCAGATGCGCACCTGCCGCCGCCAGCACGGCTCCGTCTACGCAGACGTCACAGGACATCGCTGAGACAGCTTCCAGGTGCCCATCTCTCCCTCGTGGGTCCCTATGTGGCCATTTCTCTGCCTGCAGCTGCGGCAGGCCACCCTCAAAGGCGCCCTCTGGACTTGCTGGCCCGGGACCCCACACGGGGCGGAGTCCACAGCCAGGCCGCCTCGCGCCACAGCGCCCAGCTGTGTGCCTCACATGGCCGCCATCCCCCACCCCGGGTTATGCAAACGAAACAACAAAAACAGCCGAAAACGAGCGAAAACCGATAGCTGGCAATCAGGCTGGCTTCTCCAACTTACTGGAAATCAAGGACGAGGGGGGCCTTCTTTGTCTTGTTTTGGCGGCGACAGCTTTAGGATCTGTTGTACTACACTGACTCCATTTTCCTTGATTTCAGCCATCTTTCAGGAATGCAACCCGCTTCTGCTAGCCGGCGCGCGGAGGGAACCCCAAGGAGCTGAGACTACTGAAATGGCTGCACCGCCTCCACCTCTAGACAAATGTGCTTCCTGAAGGGAGCCAGCCGCCCAGCAGCCACCCCAAGCTCTGCGCCGCCTGGTGGGGACGGGGGTCTTGCAGGCGCCACCCTGGGTCTCCCCTCACTGTCCTGTTGCCTGCACTGCAGCCTGGGACCGCTTTAAGCTGCCGAGCTCTCTCGAACCAGGCTGCGTAGGGGTCCAACTAGTCAGGTGCAGGGGACGCACGCCGGCCCTCCCTCTGTATCCCCGAGCCTCTCCTGGTGGTGAACAGTATGAGTGAGCGAGGGGGGCAGGAGAGCAGGCCGGCACCCTCCCTCAGACCCCGCCGACACATCTGAAACCACGGGGCGGAGTCGCCTGCTGCATCTGCCACCTGAAACCTTCGTGCTTAGAGAAGGCAGGTGCCGGGCGCACCTGAAGGTCGTAAAGACGATGGAGGTGAGAGTGAGATGGAAGCGTCCCCGCAGTGCCAGCCCCCGGGACGCAGGCAGGCTCTTACCTCTTTTTCGATTTCTGCCAAAGACTTGATAGTGATTCCCAAGAGGTCAAAGGGCTGCATCTGAAACAGACCAGGGCGCCTCTGAGAGGGCTGCAGGATGCCCTCGGACCACCCTGCAGCCGGCACTCCCCCCACCCCCACCCCCCAGTGCACCAGCGGCCAGACTCCTGGTGTGATGGTGAGGGGAGGAAGCAGTGGTGAGGAGCATGCCTCAGGAAGCTGGCCCACGGGTCGGCCATGTGGCTAAGGCACCCAGAAGGGCCGTGGCTAAGCCCGGGGCTGACCAGCTTGGCCTCTCTTCCCCCTGCAAGGGACAGTGCGGGCAAAGTCTGCTCTTGCCTCCTGAAGTTGGGGCCAGTGGTGGCCCTGGCTCTCCTGGGAGGCTGCCCTGACCCCACGTGGCGTCTCTCATGGGGGACTCTGCGGTAGCCAGGGAAGGAACTGGGGAACTCTGGGTCTTTGAAGGAAGCTCCTGCCCATCACCGAGACGCTGACAGCAGCAGGGGTGGGAAATGATCATGCTGGGTCTTAGCGCGGGGTGGGTGGGGTGGGAAGCACTGCCGTTTCATGGGGAGGAGGTGCTCTGTTTGGAAACGCTGGTTTTCAACAGAAGGCATGAAAAAGCGAATGCACATGGCAGTGAGAATTCGCTGCAGGTCCCAGGGGCTAGGCTGAGGTCCACAGAGGGTAGGGCCCCGTCTGTAGGCCCTGCGTGTCCACAGGCACCCAGGTGTTCTGTTTCCAGAGGGGCCCAGTGAGGGGCCAGCAGCCTGGGATGAGCAGGTGGAGACCAGGAGCCTTCCGGGGACACTCTGGGCCTGCGCTGCAGCAGCCCCGATCGGCAGCAGCTTCCAGTGCGGCCAGTACCAAGAGTCGGTTCTGGACTCCAGGGAGCCGCGTTCAGAACGGGGCTTGGCCGCAGGTCAAGTGCCCTCCTCATGTCCTCATCTGCCAGAAAGGGGCGTGGGCAGGTGCTCCTGGCGTGGCTGGGGGGGTGCTTAAATGGGAGAAAGGCTTGCAAGGGCTTGGCACAGGGCTTGGCTCGAGTGCATGGCCGTGGGCACTTGCTGGGTTGGCAGGGCCCTGCAGCACTCGCTCGCAAGGGTGACCCTGGGACAGGGCCACCGAATTAGAACTCGGCTCCTGGGGCTGCTCTGCCAGTAGCCACAAAGCAGTGTGACTCTCGTGGTGCGGCCAGTCTGAGAGGGGTGAGGACAGGGCTGCCCGCGCCCCAGCAGGGGTCCAGCTGCTGTATGCCCATCTCTTAACTGCTCCACTCAACTTTCCCAACTGGAGCGGCAAGCAGGACAGAGCGGCCTCTCCCAGGGAGCCTGCGGGAAAGGCGCCAGCGTCTCCATGGCAACGTGGCCGAGCAGTCGCCGAAGTTGCGCGAGCCCCACGTGTCACGTCACGAGCATTTTTCAAGATTAAGCTGCTTACCAGACGGGCTTGCTGGCGGCCTATTATGTTTCACGCGAGGGGACGCGCGGAGCGGGTCGGATCACGAGCCGGGTGGTTAAGCTGGCTCCAGGAAAAACGCTGAGGGATTCTTCAGCTGTGCCCAAACTGGGGCCTTCGTGTTTACTGGCTGTGCGGAGCACTCTCCGCAGGGTAAAAGCCAGCAATGCGGCTACGGAGCTGGCGAGAACCTGGACTGCACTGCTGGGAGAGGCCCCTGCTGTCCGGGGCGCCCCAGAATGCCAGGCACGGCCTGCAGCCCAGGACACTGGCCCCAGTGCCACATGTAGGGTGGGCTCCTCCCACTGCCCTCTGTCCCGTGCTCACATGTGCTGCGGGGCTGGCGCTGGCCTGGCGTGAGCCGGGGCCCCACAGCCAGAGGCCCCCGAGCCGGAGTGCAGTGTGCAGTGAGTAGGGCACGCAGCCTGCCATCATCACACCAAGTGGAGCAGAAACTACAAAGCTGAGCTTGGAAAACAAAGAATACACAGAGCTGATGGGGTGAAGCTCAGCTCAATTTACAGCTGGGCCACGAAGGGAGGGCTCGCCCGTCTCGCTTCTCGGGGCTCTGCGGGTGCAGCTCCGACTGGGGCCCAGACGAGCACCACCCACCCCCGCTCTCGGGAGTCACTGCTGTTGGCTGGAGGGGGAGGGGCGAGTGGGTCCAGCTTCCAGCGGGAGCAGAGGCAGGCACGTGCCCAGAGCGAGGCCCCCGGAACAGCCCCGGGTGCACAGCAAGTAAGGTGGGGGCTTCAGGCTGGGGGCAGCAAAACGGAAGCACAGTCACGCTGGAAACTTACACTTTCTGGAACGCACGAAAACTTCTCTGATATCATGAACGGCACCCCATCCATTGCTGCAAAAGAAAAGGGCGGCAGTGAACACACCACGGACACTCGGTGACCTCGGCCACCAGCACGAGTGCTCGAGGGAGTCACCGGCTGGAGCCGGCCGGCGCCCAGCGCAGGGCAGTGGCAGCTACGGCGTGAGAACTGGTACACCCTGCCTCCAGGGAGGGGAGGCAGATGTGTAGACGAGAGCTCCCGGAGCTCAGAGGGGCTGGTCTAGAACCCCCAGGAGCCTGGCCTCCAGTCTCTAGGGGGTGGGAGCCTCCAGGGGCTGGAAGCAGAGCTGGGAGGGACAAAGCTGCCCTCTGGGAGCAGGGGAGCAGAACGCGTGCTCCTTACCCACTCCCTGAGCCGAGACAACCTTCTCTCCCAGGCTGTCAGGGTCATGGGAAGTCCATGTTGGAGGAAAGAGTTCGGCAGTTGGGCTGGCTGTGTCTGGATCCTGGCCATGACCTTGGATGAGTGACTTAATGTTACAGGTAACAGGAGGTCATGGCCACACCACTTCTCTCAGCTGCCACCCACGCCTGCCCTCCCAGGCCTTCTGGGGAGGCAGACAGCACCGAGAGACTGGCACTGCATGCCTCCTCGTGCCCAGGTGGGCTTTAGGGAAAACCTTCCTGCCAAGGCCAAGCTTGGGAAGACAGCGGGAATCTGGAGGGGAACACACCACAGGCAGCCTCTTGGGAAGGAGGGCGGGAGGAGCAGTCCCCAAGATGCGGGAGCGCGGGTGGAGTCAGGGGGCGGTGCACCCCTGCCTGGGCCAGCATGGAGGGGACAAGAGGACGACTCGGCCATCCCTGAGCACAAGACGAAGATGTCCGGGAACGCCCGTCTCGGAGCTCAGGACGGAAGAGGCACGTGGTCAGGCCAGCCACGTATTCTTCTAGAAAACAGATTTCCACAGAGGGGAGGGAGCCGGGCTGCAGGGCCCAGAGCTGGAGCTGGGGTTCCTGGGCTGAGCAGCGGTCGCGCAGGGCCGGGAATCGTCTGTCAGCCAAAGCACACGAACGGACAAAACCGTGTCCCACGGACTGTGGTGGGAACGAGTTTCAGCAAGACGCTGGCAGGATCTCTCCTGCTATCCGTGTGGACGTGAGGGATAAATACGGCTGGAAAACATCCAGACGAGGGGAGTCTGCGCCCGGCTGCCCAGGCCCGGACGTGGGGTGCTACCAGAGGCCTGGCAGGATGGCCTCTGACCAGGCTAGCGGAATGAACTCCAATAAGAGCTCAAGAAGTCGGGATCTCGGGCCACATTAGTGGGCAGGGTTTACTAAATTCCCACAGTTTACGTCTCCAAACCCAGCCGTGTCGGAGGGAGTGGAAGAGACCTGGACCGAGCGAGGGCGCGGCACCACTGTCGAGGCTGCAGAGCTACGTCCTGGTCCAGGCTCACGGAGCAGCTGCTCTCCATGTGCCCTGAGCGTCTCCTTGGCAGCCTTCAGGGAGACTGGGAAGGTGAAGGAGCCGCCAGGCCTGCCCAGAGCCCAGCACTCCGCCGGCTTGACGGGACGTGCAGCGAGACTGGGACTCTGGTCGAGGTGGGAGAAGACGACCCAACGTTCCACCATTTTCAGGGCTGAGATGGAACGGGGTGGGACAGGTGACACGGGGCTCAATGAGAGCCCCGCCTCCCAGGGCAGGGCCAGCTGACCGGGGCACAGGCACACACCTAGGGAGGACTCCCGTGGGTGGGGCAGAAAGCTGGTCTGTGGGCCCACTGACTCCCCTCCTAACCCCACGGCATCCACTTCTCTCCGTATCTGGGCAGCCTTTCCATATTTAATATCTAGAGGGTTGCCAGACATAATTCTCAAGGTCAGTGGCACACATTCCTCCCATGTTTCCAATGAGTGCCCGTAAATCCTGTCCGTGCCGGCTTCTCGCAGGGGAGGCGAGTCTGCATCTTGCTCCCTGCCTTCCTGGCAGGAACCAGCGCCTCATCTTCACTCCTGGAGCTCAGAGGCTTCGCGGTTCACCAGCACCCGACTGCTGCTGGCCCTCCTCGGGGTGGCCGCCGCTGCCCTGCGCTCCCAGGTCTGCCAGCCACCGTCACAACCCTTTGCTCACGGGAGCTGGAGGTGGCCTTGCTGGGCCCTGGAGTCCTCTCTCCAGGAAGAGGCTCCGCCAGGCCTCTGGGAGGTAAATTCTCGCCCAGCCCAGTTCTACAGAGGAGCGACATGGAAGCAGGCCCCCGTCTCCTGCCCACACCAGGGTATGTGTGTGTGTCAGACGGCCCTCACTGTTAGCATTTGCAACTGACACCTGAGGAAACTGAGGCTTAGAGGAGGCAGGGAGCTCAGGAGGAGCCAGGACACAAATCCAGAGTCCAGCTGCTGCTGCGGGCTGTGGCACGGGAGGTGGGCTGGGGACTTCTGCAGATCTGGGTTGTTAATTCCGGCTCAGCAGCTGGCGATGTGTGGGCAGGTGCAGGCCACCTCCCCTCTGTGAGCCTCAGCTGCCCTGACTGTGAAATGGGGCGAATACTGAGCCCACTCAGAATACTGCCGTGAGAGCAGAAAGACGAGAACTGGGACGAGAGAGATGGGGCCCTGGCCCAGGGGAGGGCTGAGGGCCAGCCCGGGTTTCTGCTCTAGGGGGAAGCCTGGCGACGCATGGGCTCCCTTTCAGTACCGGGCCAGGTCTTTTGTCTTCCTTTTAGTTTTTTTCCTAATTTTCAATTTCTGGTGGGAGTCTCAACGAAACGCTGATCTGCGGCATCGAACAGCAGCCAGTGGGTACAAGCCAGGATGTGCCACGGGCTCCGTGGCGCAATTAGCATTCTCCTAAACAAACGAGCTTCAACAGAGCTGTAATTAAGCAGGCCTGTAATTAAGTATATGCCCTTTATCATAACGATCATGCTTAGAGATGGCATGATGCATGGAACTCTGTTATTAATGCTGTAGTCCCCACCTCAAATGCGAGTACATAGAAATCAGCGTGTCAGGCCTGTCGCCAGAGTGTTTGTAAAATACATTAAAGAAAAAACCCGGGAAACAATGAGCTCATTCAGCTGCTCTTTTTACAATCAGACACTAGAGTCAGGGGGACTGCGAATGCTTCCCGATTCTGCGAGGTTGAAACAAAGCGCTCATCTGCTACTGCACTGACCCCATCCCATCTCCTATTTTAAAGAAGGAAAAGCAGTGGTGATTTTTATTTTTTTTGGCCAGCAGACCGGAAGCAGCCCAACTTGCATGGACATAAAAATGGATTCCTGCTTGCATAGACAGCTCGCCAGGAACGAAGTCTGGCGACAGAGGGGCCTGCCGCCTCCGCTCCTCGTCTCGTGTAGGAGCTCTGGTTTCGTTGTTGAGGCAGTCCCCGGTGCCGCCCCTTGACCTCCCCCAGCAAACACAACCCTTGGCCTTGTCGGGCTCAACACAAAGACATCGCTGACCAATTCCCGAGAGCTGTGGACCTGGGAGCACCCATCAACCCTGGGGTACCCACAGCTGCTCAGGGTGCCCCGTCCCTTCCCTTGCCGACAGCTCAGGAGCAGTCGGGGCAAGGACACGTGCCAATCAATGCGGATTTAATTTCAACAGGCTGGATACAGGGAGTCGTAGACTCATGCGGCAAAGGACGTCACGGCTTTCACAAAGCGCCGTTGCCAGCACCAGGACCGTCACTGCTTACAGCTGACAAGTGGTGTTAGGTGAAGGCGAGTAACAGTACCCCAGAAGTGCCCGCAGACACGACAGTGAGCCACGTGGCTTGCTGGCAGGCACTCATTTCCGAATAAAACAATGCAACCAGGGTGGTGAGAGGCTGCCCGCTCTGTGCACCTGGCTTGGCACTTGGAGCTGTAAGCAGCAACCCCACCCCTCCCTGCCCCCTCTGAAAGCCCCTCTCTGTGATGGGCAAACCAAAGATCTCAAGGCCACTTCTCGACTCATCTGCAAACCACAGCACAGAGCCAGTTCTGCTTCTGTGGCAAGTGCACCTTGGGGACAGTCCCGGTAAGGCCCTGTGGACACACCCACGGGGACACCCCAACTGGGTTTACACAAGGCCTACAACTGCCTTCTATAGCCCTGAAGCAATGTGTTTTGCCACCTTCTTTGCAAGCCGAAAGCAGTGATTTATCAGCCACCGCCGGAGCCTCACGAGCGCCACGCATGTGGCACTGTGGCGGGGAGGGCGCTCGCTCCGCTCAGGTGCCAGCATCAGACGCAGCCATGTGGCTCCGGGCAAGTCGCTTAGCCTCCCAGGCAGGTTTCCATCTGTCCAAGGAGGGTAACCAGGCCCTGCAGCACGGATGGAACAGAACGAAACAGCCTGTGGTCGCTCAGGAGACTGTATTTGCAGTTTCATTTGAAAGGCAGAGGCAGAGAGACAGAGGCCTTGTATCTGCTGATGCCCTCACTCCCCAGATGGCTGCAACAGCCAGGGCTGGGCTAGGCTGAGGCCGGGAGCCCCGACGTCCGCCCTGGGCACTCGAGTACTTGAGCCCCAGGACGCACAGCAGCAGGGAGCTGGGGTGGAAGCGGAGTGATGCAGGATGCGGGCAAGCGACGGCTTAGCCGCTGCCGCCCCGGAGAAGGCTTTTCATAGCAGCAGCCATTGTTGCAGAGAAGGCATTCAGCCCAGGCCCCTCCTCCGACTGTGTGCACGGTGACGAGCACTGACCTCTCCCAGCCTGCCTTCTCGACCGCAGAGGAGAGGAAACAGGCACACCTGCGCTCCCAGAAGTTTACCTGAGACAGAAACGGGAGGCTCCAGGTGCGAGCTGACCGCGCAGTGACTGTGGGTCCCTGTTACTGCTGCTGGTGCCACTGCTCTGCACAGGACGCCCTCCACCCACACCTCTGCCTGCTTCCGCGTGAAGATGTGAGTGCAGCCACACTGATTGAGGGGGCCCTGTACTGAGTGCCCCAAACCAGAGGCTCCTGGCCCCAGCCCTGGCTTCCCCTGGCACCCATCATGCAAGTCACGCACGACTTGGGAGCGGTGCACAAGCTGCGCCCAGGCTGCCTGATGTCCCTGGGAGAGTCCCTAG